TGCAGCAATTCCTGAATGTTGGCAGATACAGAACTGCCTACTTCTGCTGAGCCCGGACTGCAAGAGGGTGCAGGCCAGGCTGAGGGCCCCCCGCTCCCTCCACAGTGCACAAATGTCGTGCGCCAGGCCTCTAGTGTGTGTGTGTGTGTGTGTGTGTGTGTATGCTTAATCAAATAGTAAAAGGGATTCAGGTATAATGTCATCTCCCTAACTTTTTCTCTGAAAGAAAATTTGTTTTTCATTCAAACATCATGTTGTTTTCCTAAATAGGTTTCTGTGTGTAGAAATCTTTTAATGCAAAAATATTTCTACAATCTGATTTTGTAATGTGTTGCTAAAAATAAATAGCAATTACAAATGACCATTTATCCATCACAAAAATATTAGTGGTTGTAAATCATTCAGAAAGTATAAAATAAAATTAAAATATGAACTAATACAATAAAACCCATTTTTCACAGTTTTAGGGGTAGCTAAGAGAAAAAAAGAATTAAAACCCATGAACCATAGGAATTATACGGATTCTGTACCTAAAACCACGATCTCACATTTTTAAAACACTTACTACAGAAACTGAGTTTTAATCTAGACTTAAAAAATATTGTGTAAAAACAATCTCTTCTAAAACCCTTCCCAATTTTCCATCAACATCTAAACACAGAATACAAAATATTTACATTAAGTAGTAACTGAAAGCTACTGAAATACTAAGTTATTAAAGCTTTCTACCTCATATATAACGAAATGAAAGACAACCTTGAGAAGATACTTACCTAAACTAAGAATCTAGAATTCTTACTCTCTGTAACTGCTTAGCTCAGTAACCTTTTCAATCTTATTTCAATTGTTCCTCCTGTCTCCCAGGTCCTAAGCCTGTGGACTACTGCCTGCTCTCACTTCGTTGGTGAGCCATATTATGACCTGATGTCTCCTAAGTTTAAACCCTCAACCTCACACTTTTCTCTTGACCTGATCTTATTTTACAGAACTATCTATTTGACATTTTTGCTTAGATGTCTAATGAGGACCTAATATGTCCAAAATGAAACTCCTGATCCATCTCTGCCCCCACCCCCAATCCTAACCCATCCCTCCAGTTGTTCAGGTCAAACCTTTGGCGCCAGAATACCCTCTTACCCATATGTAATGCATCAGAAAATTCTGGGCCCAACCTTCAAAATAGATCCACAATCTGGCCACTTCTAATTACTTCACTGCTATTACCCCAGTCCTAATAATGATTATCTTTTGCAAAGATAGTTGAAAAAGTCTCTAAACAGGACTCTCTTCCAACTTGGTCTCCTTATAATCTACTCAACACAGCAGCCACAAAAAACCTAAATCTGAACATGTCCCTTCCCTGTAATAGCCCTTCATTTTACTTGAAGTAAGAGTCTAATTTCCTTTAAGAGCCTACAAGGTTGCCCTAACTGGTCTGGCTTAGTAGACAGAGCGTTGGCCTGCGGACTGAAGGGTCCCAGGTTCAATTCCAGTCATGGGTGCCCAGGTTGCGGGCTCCATCTCCAGTAGGGGACCGTGCAGAAGGCAACTGATCAGTGATTCTTTCTCATCATTGATGTTTCTAGCTCTCTCTCTCTCTCTCTCTCTCTCCCTCTCCCTTCCTCTCTGAAATCAATAAAATGTATTAAAAAAAAAAAAAGAAAGAAAAAGAGCCTACAAGGTCCTAGATAATCTGGCCCCTTTACTTCTTTGACCTACTCTCCTGTTGCTCTTGCACACTGGCTTCTTAGTTGACCCTTTAATATGCTAGGCTTACACTCACTCTAAGACCTTTACTCTGACTCCTCCCTATGTCTGACTGAAATGCTCTTCCCCATATATCCTGGCCAACTCTCTTAATTTGTCTTTGTTTAAACATCACCTTCTCACACAGGGCCACTACCACATCCTATGTACAAATGCAACCTTCCCCCACTCCCCATCTCCCTTAATCTGCTCTTTTTCCCCATTAGCATCTATTATCTTCTAACAAACCATTCAATTGTCACTTGTGTGTGTGTGTGTGTGTGTGTGTGTGTGTTTTGCCCTTCTAGAATGGAAGCTCCATGGTGGCAAAATTTTGTTTCATTTACCAACATAACCTACTTAGGTGCTCAGTAAACAGGATATGGGGGAAAACAACAATTGTTTTTATTTATTCCCTTTATCTTTAACAACAACGGTAGGATAAAAGAAAGAACATTTTTAGAAAGAAAAAACAAACACAGAAATATATACAGTATACATTCTATCTAAAAACTTACCTCTACAATCTTCTCTCTGTTTTTGGTTGGGTTCATAGGAGGTTCTGTGAGTAAGATTTTACAATTTCTGGTATCTATGTTAAGTTTCTCTGGTCCAAATGTATAATCCCACAGGTGTTTCATGTCATCCCAATTTCGAACTATGCCATTTTCCATAGGGTAGTTAACTTCTAACATTGAACGTAATTCACTTGCCTCATCACCAACCATAAGATCCTAAAAATTATAATATCAAAGCTTAAGACCAATCAAATTTTGCATAAAATACCTTCAGAACATTATATTCTCATATTTTGGTTGAATTTTGGAATAATTTTAATCTTTCTGGCACATTCAGATTAAGTATTTCATTCCACAAGTTAAAAATCTTTTATTTCAAGAATAATGCCTTACCAACTTTAATACGTTTTTATACACAATGTGGTTTAAATCAATAAAATGACCTTACCTTTAATACATATGTTTCCAAAAGAAGGGCATTAGCACAAATAAACCCCATATTTTCATATTTTGGAGGTTTTTGTATGAGGTTTCATCTGTTTCTTTTGCTCAAATATTCAAAAAATAAGGCCTGTGATATGTGAAATAGCACATCAGGAGGAAAAAACTGGCAGAAAAATGCTCAATGCATGCAGCACATTTCTTTGTACTAAATATCAAAATGACAAGTATTATAAAGCATAATGAAAGAAGCAAAAAAATGATTCTTTTTATACTACAATAAAGCATATATGCACCATATAACTTGTAAATTTTACAAACTTCTACCTACATGTCCGAATTAGAAATAAATTTCTATACAGGCCTCATCAAGAGAAATTAAAATTTGTAGATACACAAAAAAATAAGACACAGGGGAACAGTTCTTTAAAATTATCTCATGAGCAATGTTTTTTATCTTCAAGTGTAAGGCTAGAAAAATATGACACATGAAGCAGAATACTCACAAGTCTTGTCTCCAATGAGAGCATATTTAAGATGACCCACATTTGAAAAGCCAAATTTTGTATGTATAAGAAAGTTAATGATGTCCTAGAACTTAAACTTATTTTAGAAATCAGCTAATCAAGATATTAAATAATCCTAATTTCTACATGTACTGATGAATTTTTTAAAACTAGCATCAGACATAGCAACTATATGCTATAATACCTTAAGTTTAAAACATGAGGAAAATAAAAGAAACAGCAAAATTAAAATCTTAAAACAGAGGTTTAAATATACAGGGTGTCCCCCCAAAATGTATACATACTTTAATAGCTGATAGCTCAATTGATGTTTTTTTCTTTTAAGAATAATAAATACTGCCTTTATGATTATTCAAAGTATGTACACATTTTTGGAAGACAACTTGTGTATATGAGTTTAAAACGTTTAAAAGTAATTTTTTTAAGGATCAGAGGTAAAACCATGATTTTGCAGAGACCTTTCAAAAGGTTTCTGCAAAATCCACTGAAGCAACAACAAAAAGGGAGGGGAGAGTTAAAGCAGGTCCTAGAAATGTTCTCTAAAACTTATGTATTGCAACTAGTATTGTATAAAATTAATTTAACACAACTTAATATTCAAATGACTTCAATATTAACTATTTAACATTATCTGATAGGAAAATACAACACTAAAACCCTGTATTTGTGAACTCTACTTAATTACATGGGTATGTTGAATTAGTTAGGGTGAAGTATACCGATAATTTGAAATACATCAAAAAGCAAGACAGACTGATGAATGGATAGAGGGATAAATATGTGATATTATAGCAAATGTTAATGTCAGGATCTAAGTGATGGGTGTATGGACTTTACTATAAAATTTTTTCAACTTTGCTGAATATTTTAAACACTTCTTAATAAAATGTTAAGGGAGATATTTATAGCTGTAAGTGCTTATATTACTTTTGGCCATTAACAAATATAATTTAATACACAATTTTGTTACTTACTTTCCTTTAGAATATATCTTTGTGTTGTACAAGGTACTACACTAGATAATTAGGTAATTTACATAAATCAATATACATTCACAATACATTTGAACAAATTTTATCAAAATATTAATTTTCATTCCATGCAAGAATAGGAGCTTAAGTATGTCAGACCCAATGCCAACTAAAAATAAAAGCTTAGTGTATCTACATCTAGGAAATACATACTCTACAAGACTAACTGAAAAAAATGTCTGGCATCAAGTATCTTACTATCCCTCTGAACAAAGACAACATTTAAAATGAAAGAAAACAAGTTTTAACTTATTAGGTTAGTTTAAAATTTGAGTATCTCAAGCTGCCTAAATTTATCCAAATCCTAAACATATAATTTTCCTTAGAACGTTTCTCCTTCCAAAAACCAAAAATTTTAAGAGTTTTATCAAGCTTGCCCTCATACCTCAGAACCAAGTTATAAGCGATCAGATCAGGCCTCAGAGTTTTACCACCCACCTCATTAATGGACCTCAAGCCTAAACCATCACCTATTACCTGAAAGAATGAAAAATTATAGTAACTGTTCAGAGATGCTGTTTAAAAAGCATTTATATATTATGAGAAGCAAGCAATATAGGTTATATTTGCCAAGAATCATTTGAAAAATGTCACCTCAAATTGAAAAATAGAGCAAAAACACTTTAAAACCACAATTAAGTTCCTAGAAGGAATTTCCTTAAAATATATTTGTGAAATTAAGTCTACACAGTTCTCTACAAATAGCCTCTCAAATTTTCTTAGGATATTAAGAAAAGGCATGATCTTTTATTTAAGATAAATATAAGAATTTCCACGTTTAAATGTTTTTGCTTAATCAAAAGAAAACTCCACAAAGTTACTGCTACTAGTTAAAATATATATATATATCCCTAGAAATGCCTATCATTCATCTTTGTCAAAACTGCTTATAAATATTAAAAAACAAATTTGAAAACAACCTACTACAGAAGCATTTAGACTATCACTGAAAAAACACAATGAAAGAGTAAATTGTCTGGGATATACCCAGAAGCTTCTAGTTCAAAAGAAAAAGGTGCCACGTTTACTTAGGGAGAAACCTTTTGTTTATGGAAAAGTCTGCTAAGACTCACCGTGTACTTATTTCCCCTCAGATGTTATAAAATCTGCTCATCTATATTTCATTTGCATATTAAGATTTTACTGTTTATTAAAAACACATGATACTGTACTGGATGCAAATGTATATACAAGCTATGTATGATGGGCAATGTTCAATTTGACATTAATCAATATAGTGAATTTATCCAAATGTAACAACTTCACCCCAATCTTTTGGATCACACATATCCTATAAAAAACTACTAGGTTTCTAATATTATGCACACCACATTCCATTTTAATTATAACATTCATCTATAAGAAACACAAGAAAAACAATTCAAAACTATGTTAGTAAATCAGTTCTGGTTTGGTCCATTGTATGCAATCAGGAAAGTACAGGATCAAAGTACTTAAAATTAAAATATGGAACTACCCCCCTCCCCAATACTAAAGGGACACAAAACAATAACTACTGTCCCACCAAGCAAAAGTGGAAAACAAACAGAGAGCATGTGTGTAACCTCACTTACCATCTTTTTGTTATTCTACTTCAACAGGTCAAGAAAGGTGAAGAGAGAGAAGGTAGAAGTAAGAGTCAGAAAAGGCCTAAATAAAATCCTCACTGAAATTTTTAAAACATACAAGCAATAGAGAACAATTAGGTTGAGGTCAGATGCAGTACCACTATATTTTACGGAGTTAGTAATTAGGGCCAAATTAACAAGGAAAGTTATTACTTCTGAAAGAAAATTAACTCATTAAACAATTTAAATTTCCAGGTTTTGGGTTTTTTTCAGTCTACCACCACATTTTAGCTAACAGGACACAAAAAGTCTAAGTCAATGCACTAGACAGAGGAATTCCAAAAAGTTAAGTTTCTTTAAATTCATTACTGAATTTAAGAACCTTAATTAAGGAAAATAAATGATAACAGGGAAGGCAAGGCATAGCTGGGTAAGCAGAGGATAAGGTTAGGGTTGTTTTTCCAAGCCCCAGCAGTCAAGTTAAATTTTATAGGTTTCTGTCTTTTACTGGAAGAACAATTTAACTTGAAAGACTTAAAAGACTAATAAGCAGATTGAACAGTACTGAGCCAACAAAACACAGAATGGCAAACCATACAAGCAATGCTATTGGGGAATTCCTTAGTAAAAAACATTTCATTAGTATATTGACTAGTTTCATTTCTATCAGTTGGCCTTAAAAAGCAAGAAAATGGGGGAGGGGGGTAAAAAAAAAAAGGCAAGAAAATGGGAGCTAAAATTTGTGCCTATGCTGAAGAATAAAAATGGCTATATGTGATATATCTTAATACCTCAAAACTGATAATATCTATAAAGTACATAAAAAATTCTTTTTTACAAACCTGATACTGAATAAAAAAAGACTTTATACTCCATTTAAAAATTTATCCTTCTCACTATTATTAATTAAATTTTAAGCAAAGTCTACTTAAGATCGAATTCAATCAAAACAAAAATTCACAAAAAGAGAATAAGGAATCCCATAAATTTCCCAAAAGAAAAGACCCTAAAATGAAAACACTCAAGATGACTATCCGTAAAATAACAAGAGGCCAGAATAATTCACTATTTTAAGTCTTTAAGAAATTAACAAGAACCTAAGTTTCAATTTATATTTTTATTCATTGCTAATTCAACTCTAATCCCAAGAGCAGAGAGCTACCAAGTAGCAAATCTCTACTGCCTATTACCACCTTCCTAGAAAGTTCAAACAAATGTCCCAAAGAGGTTCGCCCTAATTCATGTTTCAAGTGACTCATAATCTTAATAGTTCACTGAAGTCTTGCCAAAGACTGTCCAGATAAGACCAACAATGCTAGCTTGTTCACAAATAATTCAGTGAAAGAGCCCCTAAATTCTACTGCATTTTGTATAACCTGACCCCTAGGCCACCTGAAGAATTTAAGTCAATTGGTGACAACAGTCCTTTTGGTTGATCTGTTTCTTTTTTCTTCTACAATATCATAACTCCCATTTGCTTTCCAATCCCTTTAATATGGGAGAAAAATCCATCATTCTTAATGCTGAGTCTCTATTGTCAGGTACAGTGAGTAGGGAATGATAACCTTCCCTCTTTTCTCTTTCTGGTAAGGTAATAATGCAAGACCACATAAAGACTTGTACGCTTCCTCCTGCACATCATGGAAACCAGTTATTACATTAGTGAGAAAAGGAGACAATAAGATTTACACCCTGTGTTTTCCTGACTAACTATATAAAAATGTAGGGGGATCAGGCCATGAGAACATGAAAAGGAAAAGTCTAAGGTCCCAAGGAAACACTAACATACATGATGACAAATATATGGAACTAAAAAACGTAAAAATGCCAGGCTTTCTTTTAATAATTCACATTCATATAAACATCTTAAATGATTTACTCCATTCAGAGAGTAATGGCTTCGAAGCCATACTTAAAGTTAGGTAAAATTAATTTCAGTTTTTATGCCTTTCTTCAGGTATTGATATCAATTAAAAATATAAGAAATTCTGCCCTCCCCCTTTGCTTTTCATGGCATATTTTAAAACTACTTAATTCAAAGAACATCTCATAGGTTTTGAACCTCATTTATCAATAAATAAAATATTACCTTGATTTCAATGTTTCCCACTTTGGTGGTTGATCTGATAATAGGTCTTCCAACCAAAGCTGGGAAGATGTGTTCTGGAAAGTTAGAGCCTGCATATCCACACTTCACAAACTGGAAGAGAGTAAAAGTGGGTTAGTCAAGGTATGTACCATATCCATTTAAAAACAGTATCTGGGCCAGGCAGGTGTGGCTCAGTTGGTTGAGCGTCATCCCATGAACCAGGAAGTCGAAGATACCTTTTCTGATGAGGGCACATGCTCAGGATGCAGGCTCAATTCCCAGTACAGGGGGCTCAGGAGGCAGCCGATCAATGTCTCTCTCTCTCTCTCTCTCTCTCCCTCCCTCCCTCCCCCTCTACCTTCCTCTCTCTGAAATCAATCAAAACATTTAAAAAATAGATCTCTGAAAAATACCACTTTGCATTTACACAATATTTTAAACTGGATACTTTCAAATTATCTAAACTGGTCGTCCAATCTATTGTATCTCGTTTTATTTCCTTTATGGCATTGACTACTACTGGAGTTCATGTTTATTTACCGTAAAACTGATTACTTAGTGCCTAAGTCCCTCACTACAGAGAAAGCCTCAGGAGAGCAGGAAGCTTAGCTGAGCAATTCATGTTAGATCCTGATGCCTTAAAGAGGTCCTGGCACACAGTGGTCACACAAGAAGTATTTGAGCCTTGGCCAGTATGGCTCAGGTGGTTAGGCATCATCCCATGTACTGAAAGATTGCCGATTCATTCCCCAGTCAGGGCATATGCCAGGATGGCGTGGTGGCAGAATCCCCAGTGGGAGGCACGCAGGAGGCAGCCAATTGATGTTTTGCTCTCACTTCGATCTTTCTCTCTCTTTCCTCTAAAAATTCAATGTAAAAAAAAGTAATATTGAGGGAAATGGACAAATTCAGTCAACAACTACTTTTTTAAAAACTTATTATTATTAATATATTTTATTGATTTTTTTACAGAGAGGAAAGGAGAGGGATAGAGACTTAGAAACATCGATGAGAGAGAAACATCGATCAGCTGCCTCCTGCACACACCCTACTGGGGATATGTCTGCAACAAAGGTACATGCCCTTGACCGGAATCGAACCTGGGACCCTTCAGTCCACAGGCCGACGCTCTATCCACTGAGCCAAACTGGTTAGGGCATAAAACTTATTTATTGATTTTAGAGATGGAGAGGGAAAGAAACATTAATTTGTTGTTCCACCCATTTATGCATTCATTGGTTGATTCTTGTATGAGCCCTAACCAGGGAATCTAACCCACAACCTTGGTGTGTCAGGACATTGCTCTAACCACCCAACCCACCCAGCCAGGGCAACAACAAGTATTTTTAATAGAGAAATGTTAGAAAATGAACAACAGAGCTAAAGTTTTAATTCTAAAGCACGCTTGCATTCATCTCTGGCAATTCACTTAAGCAACTCATTTTCCAAAATGGGAAAAATTAAATGGAATCTGGACTAACACCGTATTAAAATAAACATTTATTAGGCATTTTGGGCTATTAACAGTTTTATATTTAGATAAATGTATTTAGTAATATCAGGTAACAATTTCATATTCAGATAGTGTACTTCTCCAATGAAGGCATATCATTATTGACTTTAATACTTCCATTTTATGCATAAGGAACTGATATACTATCAGACTTAACAACTACAGTAAAACTGAAAATAGAACCAAGGGTCTTTAAATTCTTATACCAATAATATAGTGTTTAGTCTTATTTTTAAGAGCAGACATTGCAAGAAAAATGCCATTAAAAACTTCAGTGGGGAAGGGAAGGTTGCAGAGACGCTGCTGAGAAATGTTTCAGCTTTAGCTGTAGCCTTTTGGCAGCACAGAAATACAAGTTATGCCTCTCAGCCCTCCAGGACTCCATCTTTAGACATACTGTCCCCACTGCTTCTTGGTGCTGTGTGGTCCTGATGGAGAGGAGAGCTCTGGGAACCTGGCACCCACCAGTGCAGTGATTCTCTTCCCTTCGGGGCCTACATTTGGGTACTTTTGGGTAACCTCTCCTGTGTCCTGCCCCTCCCCACTCTAAAATGTGGGCCTGATGTGTGTGGAGGAGCTCTGGGAAAGTATTCAGGCCAGTTACAATATATGTTAGGAACAGGCTTTAAAGATGAGTTGAGCTAGAGGTGAGTGGACTTGGGGCTTTGTTTAATCTGCTCTTTGGCGTATGGCAGCACTGCCTTCTGTTCCTGGTGGGGAGCACAGCTCTTTTGTCTTCACTGCCTTCGCGGGGAGAAGACGAGGGACTCCTTGTCCCTGCCAGGGCCATGCTGGGCTCTGCCCCGATCAAAACTAAGTCAAAATCCAGCTCACTTGATGTGAACTGAAATGTTGTGGAAGGGTAGAGAATCTGTTATTGTCCTCGCCATACTGAAATTTCTACATAAATAAAATTTGTCATGATCACCAGCCTAATATAAGCATTAATCATAATTTATATATGTATTCCAAATATAGAAAGTAAATAAAGTTCTTACGTTTACCTCAAAGTATTAAGGAAAATTATAAAATGAATTGACTGAAAAAAGAATCGGTAAGTCTGGGAGAGCCACTTTCAGCATATTAAATGTAAACAAATGATTTCAGTGCGAAATCATAATAGAAGGTGAAGGTGGAAGAGCTTTGGATGGGGCACAAGTCAAGTCCTGGGAAGGCTGATATGCCTCTCCTCTCATGATCAGGCCTCACTTTCAAAATCATGCAACATGGCAAATCTGTAAACAATCACATCACTCAATGTTTTCTGACTGTAACTGTTCAGATGGGTAGTTCATATCTTAAAACTCTTGTTTGAATATATTTCAAGGGACAAAATATTTCCCAAGTGCCTGAGGTAAGAAGACAAAAACTGGGACAACCCCTCCCCACCTGAAACTAGAAAAAACAATTGTAATCCAATTATTCCTGTGCTTTACAAAAAAGGAAAATGTGGCTTTTAATTCAAATTAAAGCTATCACTCACTTGTTAATGAAATTACTCTGCTTAAGTAGTTTATTGCAAGCATTTCCTGCCATAGTAATCTAGTGTTAGCATTCCTACAGGGTAAAAGATAATTCGGTCACAACGGCAATAACTGCACTATTTCACATTACTTCAAATGTGAAAGCACAGATAGCTATAATAACATGAATATTATTACAATAACCTATTTCTTGATAAGAGAAACTAATAGACAATCCAGCATTTCTTTTATTGCAAAAAAAAGTCTGTATTTTAAAAAATCTAAATCTAAACCATGATGTGATGAAATGAAAATATTCTTTCCTAAGCTACTCATTTAGCATCATTTAAACCTTGAAATTCCTCCCCCACTCCAATCATTTTAAGACTTGGAGACTTAGTTCTCTCATTGTGTGCAATAAGTCTGTGTTTAAGAAATAGCTTTTTACCATATATAGTTTCCTTTTCATAGCACTGTGGTTTAAACTAGCTCCCTTACTTCCCACTGAGTCATCAAATGGTAAGAACATGAACACTATAATGTTCTTTCAAGCAAAGATGAAAAAAGAGTTCCTGTACATTTGCTCTAAAAGTATTTTTCCTCTCAAAAAATAAACAGATTTATAAAGCTTCACTTGGACTTACTGTATTTTTCTTTATTAATTTTATCTGATAGTACTGGTATATTACTTTAATTTCATAGTGATTATCCTGATCTCAACCAAAATATTCATTCTATTTTTTCCAAAGCATTCTACAGGTAAAACCAAATGTGTTGTGTTGTGAGGTTTTTTTCCCTTAATCGTCACCTGGGCCTATTTTTTCCATTGATTTTTAGAGAGTGGAAGGAAGAGAAGGAGGGAGGGAGGAAGGAGGGAGGAAGAGAGAGAGAGACACACACACACACAATTGGCTGCCTCCCACACTGATGAGGACCAGGGATGGAAATTGCAGCCCAGGTACAGTGCCCTTGACCAGGAATCAAACCTGAGACCCTTCAGTGTGCGGGCAGACACTCTAACTACTAAATCACATCAGCCAGGGAAAATCAAATTTGTTTTTATTTATTTCTATTCCAAACACTTCTGAATTCAATAAAATAAATTAACATAAGCCAGATAGAGCAGGCCATATGCAAATATAAATGGGAATTATAAATCCTATAGAATCCTATATAATAAAAGCCTAATATGCAAATTGTCCCCTCAACCAGAAGTTTGACCGCTCACTATGATGTGCACTGACCACCAAGGGGCGGCACAGAACATGTTGGGCGTCTGCAATGTGGCGCTGGCAGCAGGCAGCAGTGGAGGTGCTGCCAGCCCTGATGGGCCCTTCGAGGGCAGGACTGTGGCGGGATGGTGGAGCAGGTGAGCAGGCAGCGCCAGGCCAAGGCAGATGCGAGCGGGCCCAATCGCCCCACCAATTGCCCAGCAGGCAGCGACTGGTATCAATTATAGAGAAAGGGAAAAGAGCAATATTAAAATATTTCTTCTAATTATTTTTCTTTCAATGTACATGTGCACGAATAGGTGCACTGGGCCACTAGTGAAAATACAATTATCCTAGCATTATAAGCTACTTTGTATCACAAGGCCCTAAAAACTGCCAGTCACGGTGTCTTCATTGTGGGCAGTGAACTAACTCACTGCTGATAAAATCACCCAAATTTGATAACAGAGTACCCAACACCAGAGGCTAGGCAGAACTCTTGAAAGGCATCTAAACCTAAGCAGATATCTAGATTTTCACCTATTTGGCCACTTTCAGTGGCTCTATTTTAGGTGGTAGGTTTGAACAGTTATGAGGATGAAGCAAATCATTAGAATTGGATGATTTTTACTCCTCTAGGCTGCCTTAATGAGAAACTGGTTGGGGGCTAGTGAGGAAGCAGAACAAAGACCAACAGTCAGCATGTGATCATAAGAACTCACTTACTCTTAGAGCATTCGACTTAGGGCCTGCCAGAGGAGTTAAAAAAAATCATCAACTTCTCAAATTGCCTATTATTAAAACTTTAAAACCTAAAACGTGTAAGAGGCAAGTTGCTTTAGGGTAAGAACTATTTCCACAAGTTTTTAGAAAATTAAATTTGAATATCTTGTTTAATATATCATTGTAAAGGAATCATTATACCTTCAGTTAACCAAATAAAATCAAGATGACTATAAAAAAGAATATAGAATCTAACTGGTTTCTATTTTTCTAAATTGTTATTTATTATTTTTTAATGTATTTTTTTATTGATTTCAGAGAGGAAGAGATAGAAACATTAATGATGAGAGAGAATCATCAATCAGCTGCCTCCTGCACGCCCCTACTGGGATCGAGCCCACAACCCAGGCATGTGCCCTTGACTGGAATCGAAACTGGGACATATCAGAACTGTCCCTTCATTTGAAGTTGATTATGTCTATAAAAAATCTGAATAAAATTTAAAAATAAGAAATGTAACACCGAATATGTTTTTACTTGAACCAGCTACACTTTTTCCTATGTAGGTAATAGTAACTGATCTTTTCTCTTAAAGAACAAGATCCTTAAATTATTAATTAGAATAAGACTAATCAACAATATACAATCAGCTTCTTAACAAAGCTAAACTAATGAAATAGTAACATAAAAATGAGCTCATGACCCTGGCCGGTGTAGCTCAGTTGGAGTGTTGTCCCATACACCAAAAGGTGCAGGTTCGATTCCTGGTCAGGACACATACCCAGGTTGCAGGTTCAAACCCTGGTGGCCCAGATGTGTGCTGGAGGCAGCCCATTGATATCTATCATCTCTTTCTCTCTCTCTCTCTCTCTCTCTCTCATAAATTAAAAACAAACTTTTCTTTAATGAGCTCACAGTTAACATCCCTATTCTAATTGAGTATCACAAAACTCATTACAAATATAGGGTTCATTAGCCTTCAAGAAAGAGGAATCACCACCACCATCCCCCCCCACCCCCCCCACCCCCGAAAA